CACAATGTATGCACGAAACTCGACAAGCAACCTAAAACAAATTAAATAAATGCCCTAGAGGTCAATGCAAGTGAGTCCTCGCTACGCCATGAGTCCACTCTAAGTCCTTCTGACACCTGGAAATGGTAAACAACTAAGTCAGCTGATAGCTCAGTGAGTAGCAATATGGATAGTAAATACAGTTTGGAAAACAGGGTTCAATTCCAAAATAAGATATATATCACAGAAACTAGATTGGCATACAGTTTGGTAAATACAATCTGTTTCAAAAAGGGGGTTCCACAATTTAACACTTAAAATACTCATGTCTCGCAAGAACATGATAAACGATATTTTCCACTTAAAACAGATTATAACATGAACACCAATAATTTTCTGGGTACCAATAGAAACAAATGATCTGCCACATAGTTCTCAAGCCTATAAGCCCCATTGGATCCAATATCGAACTAAGAGTCATCCTCAGGGTGGTACTTGGGCCTTTTCTCAAAGACGATCCGATTGAAGGTCACCTAGCTTTTTTTTAAAGGTCTTTTCCTTACAATCGTTGAACACTAGAGTCATCACGGCCCAACCCGGACCTGTTCCCTAGTGGCCAGAGTCACCACACACAGTGGAATAATTTCCCTGGACTAAATACACACATGGTCCCAATAATCAATACACATTAGTTTCGCAAAACATGGTGGTTCATCATTATAAACATGCGACCAAAACAAATAGTTTACAGTATGCCAAGTTCACACATGTTTCAGAAATAATTTGATTCAATTGATAATATAATAATTTATCAAAACAGTTTAGTCTTAAAACAACAATTTAATTTTCCAACAGTTCAGGGTAGGGGAACATTTATAAAAATACGTAGCATGAAACTACTCACCTGGAAACAAAATAATATAATCCTCGAATAGAGTATGAAAGTCCAACTAGTGCCTTAAACCAATATGAAAACTACACGTCACTACTAATTTAAAAATACTAAAGAATACGAACTAAGTAACCCCAAACTAAAGCGCACTAACACGGCTCAACCCAACTCACCGTTACTCTTAAATATTTCCTAAGTTCATGTTCTTCAAGGTCTAAAATCACCCAAGACATAGGTTCCGATCGAAACTTCACTAAAAATAATTTTAAGATAAAACAGAGTTTTAAACAAGTTTTCGCAATTTATTCGCTAACTTTGAAAATTACAAAACCCACTCCACGCTATTCGAAAAATTCCAATAACCTCTAGATATGATCTAATATATCCTAAGTTTCAAACCCAATTGGTTTCACTTGATTTGCATATCAAAATAATTATCTATAATTTATTATATCCAAACAGGTTGTTTTCTGCAGCACTTTATAGAAATTGACCGTTCTTTTAGTATACACGAGAAATCAATGCAAGGTAAAAAATCAAAGAAACTAGACTCGTAACCGGTTCTAATGACACTAATTTGATAATTTTTGGATTTATACCCAAAGAGAACAACACTCCTGAATTTACGGTTTCGGACTGGTTTCCTGGACAGATTTGAATACCTCAATTTATATGGATTTCGACTCCCAAAAATTATGAAAAAAATTAGATATGCAATTCAATATGTAATTGATCTACTGTAAAAATTTCAGATTAAAATTCATTCGTTTGATGTGATTTCTTGATTTTTAAAGTTTGCTGGCAGATTAATATTCTTAGGAGCAACATTATGAATTCGATTAAAATTTCTAGAATACTCTCCCCATCAGCCAATCCATTCCTTTTTCTTCCACCAACTCACAACACCCACAAGCACCATAACTATGTAAACAATAATCTATAATAGAACAAGAATAAATTGATTCTTACCTTAGAGTTGTTCAACCACAAAGTTGCTAAAAACTTCTCTCTCTCTCTCTCTCTCTCTCTCTCTCTCTCTCTCTCTCTCTCTCTCTCTCGTGGCTGCTGCTATACTCTCGTGGCTGCAACTATATGTTGAAGGTGTAGTGCAAAAGCAATTATAATTAAGGGTTAGGGTTTTTGTTAGGAAAATTAGGGTTACTCTATATATATCTAAACAAAACTCTAAATAATTATCTAAACAAAAGGTTTTAAATTATTATCTCTTTATATTATTTTATTTTCTAACCCATTAATTAAATAAAATACAAGTATTACTAAATCAAAATATACTAACTAATTGGTCCCCTATTATTTATTTATTATAAATCTTGCCTCTAAATTAAAAACTTCCACCACAAATTTATTTTAAGATTAAAATTAATTAAAAGATCCTCCCATAATATTTAATTTGCACCTTAGAATTCACTACCAAAATATTTGAGATTGTAATATTATTATTTAATTATTTACTTAATTTTTATATTCGGGTTCTCACATTTGTAACCTGTGTTCCTGAATTTAGGATGCTCTGCTTGCTAGCATTGCTAAAACTGACAAACAGACTGAGTTGGCTGCTCGTGTCTCAACATGGAAACAAAGAATTGAAAATAACTTGGAGGACTAAGCAAGTGCCATCATTTTTACTTTTTTTTTTCCCCGTCACACATCCAAAACTTAACTATTTTGAATTTCAATTTCGTGTCATGTTGGACTTCAAAGAGGATATAGCTTTTGAGAAGACATGCTTACTAAATTCAATTTGACTTGAATATGCCATGTGCTGCACTACGGTTACATATTTTCATCTTTATTTTAAATGAAATTCAATTATTGTTTGATGATTTAGTGAAGTTACAAGAAAGAAAATTTGTTAATTATTATTCCTAAGCTTTTCTTTTTAAATGTTATTGTTCCTTAATTGTGGTTGGGCTGAATGAATTTTGTTCGATATTGGATTGAATTTTTATAAACAAAAGTTGATTGTTCTAAAAAAAAAAAAAAAAGAGATTTGGCGACTAAAAATTTGGTCGGCAAATTCTACACTTTTGCGACTAAAATCATTAGTCGGCAATTCCTTACCTTTTGGCGACTAAATTGTTAGTCGGCAATTCCTCGACTTTTGGTGACTAATCTGTTTGGTCATGGAATGTGACAATTGGCGACTAAGATATTTGGTCGGGAAAATATCACTTTTCACAACCAAAGTGTTTTACCGACAAAATGGATTAGTCGCAGTAATGATATATTTAGCGACAAAAAATTTAGTAGGCAAAGCCAATTTTTCCTGACCAACAAAAATTTTGGTCGCGAATTACTTTTGCAGACCCTCAATTGGCGACCAAAGTAGCGACCAAAAAAATTGGTCGCGGATAACTTTTGCCGACCAAAAATGGGCTTTTAGCGACTAATTTTTTGGTCGGTAAAGGTGTTATTTCTTGTAGTGAGACATCCATTTCCATGTTTCGAAAATGATCGAGAAGAGAATTTTTCAACACTTTTGACACGGAAGCTACTATCAAGCTTCAAGGTGGACAACAACAATATAAAAGCAAGAAATTTATAGCTAATTAATCAAACATGTGGCGGGGTGGCTAATCTCTGATCCTCCCATGACCATAAGGTTCCAATATACATAAGGAAAGTTATAAAAACTAAAGTAAAACGATCAACTCAAACAAATTGGCTGCTATATACTAAACGTACCAAATCTGTGAGGGCTATTACACTATTACAACAATACAAATATGATATTCAAAGCATAGAAAGTAAGAGCACATGTATTGGGGAGGACAAGGACCCTTTTATAAGCCCATATTCAGTTCATATCACACAAAATCAATCTAAAACAGTGCTAAAAGTGTGGGAATTTAATCAAATGAAATGAAGAAAAAGTGAAAAAGAATGAAAGAAAACAAAGGGTATACAACTAGTGAGCTAGCCAATGGAAGGGTGGCTAGCTCTTCCACCTTTAATAAAGTTTTAATCGAATTTTAAGTCCAAAATAACTTTGAAAATCAGTATGTGTTGACAAGAAATAAAGATTAAAAGAGTAAAAGAAAAGGTGATGAAAATAGTTCAAAGTTTAACCTCTTGGAAAGAGGAAGAGCTTCTTAGTTAGCAAACTTCAATCCAAATACCCTCAAGTATCTAAAATAATGTTCAAAACTTCAGCAAAAAACTTCAAGTTTGAGCTTCAATGGTGTATCTATAGTAAATCTATATTCAAGAGGGTAGATAAGTGTTTTGGATAAGCTTCTAAGCTTTTGGGAAATTTTCTTTTTGGAAATTTTTTCTAACCTCAAACTTGGGGGGAGGGGGGGGGTATTCTAGACAACTGGTCCAAATCCCGTGCATGAGAGCAACCTGCTGTTGCAGAAATATCTTCTGCGTTAAACATGGCCGGCCAACCAAGAGGATGTACGGCTGTCCCAGTAAGAGAGGCCTGCCGACCATCTGTTAGCCTGTTATTCTCTAAGTGGTCAGGCTAGAAGAAAAGTTTTGGTCAAAATGGGGTGCAAGGTTTGGATTTGAAACTCAAAATTGAATTCCTTTGCTGAAAATTCAAAAAATTGCACAGCGTCAAGTTTCATCATCGGGTGTTCGGGATGAAATACCTAAGTCTTAAGGGCGGTCAAAATGGGGTGTCCACACAAGGCATCGAAGTCGCAACTCTCTCTCTTTCTCTTTTCGAAGTTGTGACTCTCTCTATCATCAATTTGGATTCCCCAATTTTAAAAACAAAAAGGAAATTTAAAAAATAAATAAATATTTTAATTAAACAAAACAACGCCATTTTATATAACATCACGTTTCAAAAATGTTGTCTTTTTAAACATTGGTACAAATTGAAATAGTGTGGTAGACTGTCACGTATTTTATGGCAGTTTCAAAAAATGTCAAAAAAAAAAAAAAAAAACAAAACAAAAAAAAAAACAAAACAAAAACTAAAAAACCGTTGCTATAATCCTTTTTTATTGTAGTGTACAATAATTTATATTTTAATAAATACACGATTCTTATTAACAATTATAAATCATTGTACACTACAAAAAAAAAAAAAAAAAAAAAATCACGTAGTAACATTGTTTTATTATATATATATATATTTTTTTTTTCTCAGTGTGAATAGCTAGAATACCAAATTATTACAATCTCTATTTACAATCCTTATTGCTAGAGAAATAGCAAGATTATATAATCACAACAACCATCTAAGATATTACTACCCCAAATATTTTTTACCAGTTCCTATTGCTAGAGAAATTTTATTCACCAAAAACATCTTATCCGATTAAGGATTAATTCGATAATAATATGGATAGAGAATTTCACGCGCCATAATTTATGCCTAATAAAGATTAGGAGACAATCGAGGGTTGATGAGCACTTCAAGTGGAGTGGCTTTCGTGTTTGTCATTCCAACGCTCGCGCTCATGTCAACAAGTGCATTGGATGCTGGCAAAAACTCAAAACCATGGAGTAACCTAGCAAGCACCAAGTGCAACATTTGGTTGCCAAACGCTAATCCTGGGCACATTCTTCTACCAGCTCCGAATGGGATCAATTCAAAATGTTGACCTTTAGCATCAACATCTTTGTGGGTGGTGAGGAACCTCTCCGGTTTGAACTCCGATGACTCCGACCATATGTTTGGATCCCTTTGCAGCTTCCATGCGTTTACAATTAGGCGTGTGCCTGTGGGGACATGGTAGCCACCAACGGTGCAGTCCTGTGTAAATTCTCTTGGGCCTAATAGTGGGGCGGGTGGGTATAGTCGTAATGTCTCTTTGATTATGGCTTGAAGGTAGGGTAACTTACTGATATCTGATTCATCCACTTGTCTTTCCTTGCCAACATGTATATCTAGTTCTTCTTGAGCTATTTTTAAGGCATGGCGGTTGTTCATTAGTAGAGAGAGTGCCCATGTCAACATAATTGCACTCGTATCAGCTCCCCCAGCAATCAAAACCTGCAAATTCCGAAACCAACACTTCAACAAATTAGATTATAATATTGTAAGTGGTAATTAACCTGATTTGGGTCAAGCATTATGGTAATATGCAACCTTCGTCTATAGTGTAGGCATTTCAAGTCGTATAAGGTTTTATTGATCTTTGGTAATTCTATTGGAATAGGTAAGTGGTTTTTCAATATTTCAAGTTTGGTGAGAAGTAATTTGATAAACTCGTAACATTAAGCTGTGGTGCTCTTATTCAAATTTTGATTAGTTCATAAAAGGAAATTTTTAACTTTTGAATAGTTATTTTAAAAAATAATATAAAAATAATAAATAATCATTTTATCTTTGTACTTGTGTTTTGCATCAATTAAAAAAAATAAATAAATAAAAAGAAAAGAATATTGGATAGTTTATAAATACATATCTTAATGTTTGCTTGAAATACGAATAATCTCATATGGTTTAAAAATTTACAAATAGCTTCTTATAAGATTTTTTATTTAACAGAATTAATTAAAAAAAACAGTAATGATTGAGACCCCCACAAAACATCATCCCACAACCCCCACTCACTTGTGATTGGTCCAAGTAAGAAAGAGAAAATAAAAAAATAAATAATACAAATACATTATTGGTCCACATTATTGTGGGGGTAATAGGGGTCTCCCCAAAAAGGGGTCCCAAACATTATTCTATTATTAAAATATGTTAATTGATTTGATAATTTATTAAAAAAAATATCATTTTTATAAAATTGAAAAATTTCAGCAAGCGAGATGTGAATTTCAAAATCACGAGGCAACTCGTATTGTAAACAAATATCAAAAAGTATATTTAAAATTTGTCTAAGAAATTTGTTTAATAAAAAAAATTCAATAAAAACAAAAAATAAAATGAAAACATTACATAATTTTCGTAGTTTGACCCGGTGCTTCGCCAGATTGAGGAAAGTCCAGCTTAGATGATTCTATCAGACACGAAATTCCAAACTCAAAGCACCACCGGGGAGAAAAAACGGTCAGGGTGCCTCATGAATTTTGGTAATAATTAAAAAAAATAATAAAAATAAAAAATGAATAAAATATATTTATATTTTATTATTTTTTTTTATACCTAAATCCATCAACCTAACATAGTATAAAGAAAAAAAATTAGAAATTTATCCACATCTTTAAATCAATAATGTATATTTACAATAATGATACATTTATCACTTTTTTATATCATCTTTAATATACTGTGTTAACCCATCATTAATGTAATGGATTCCATCGTTCGTATTTATGTCCAATGATATGCTAGCATATATGAGGTAAATAGTATATTAAAAATGGTACAACTATTAAAAGATGATAAGTATAGTATTACTCATATATTAATCTCATTATCCTAGAACCACATCGTAAATCAATCTTGACCTTTGATGACAGGATTGTGAACAATTTTTGGATTTGTTTGTCCGGAATTATAAAATTCAGCAAAAAAAAAAAAAAAAAAAAAAAAAAAAAATTCATTATGTTAGAAAGCCTATTTCATTGTGGATCCTCTCATGCTTAGAATGGGTTAGTCTTAGTACATATGAGGGTATTTTTTTTAAAATAATTATAAATACATTTTGTGTGTCCTGTGTAAAAAAGTACAACAAAATTTTTCCTCCCAAAAGTTCTCATCTCTATACAAATAATATAAGTAGGGTAAATATCGCTCTTAAGGTCTTTAATAAATATGGATTTCCCATTACGTTTTAGAGCAATGTTACATATCATGAAAAATTTTTCATGAAAATGATCATGAAAGATTTATGACTCTTAGATTACACTTAAAATAAAACACCACACACTAATCAAGGTAATCTAAGGGTCATAAATTTTTCATGATCAGTTTCATGAAAGTTTTTTCATGATCCTTATCTTTTCTCTTACGTTTTAACTACAGGGAATCTATATATATATTTATTAAAAATCACAAATATTTTATAATTTATCCTAATAAACAACAAAAGAATACACATAAACTTTTATTTATTTCAAATTTTAAATCCATAAAATTAATTTATTATTTTAAAAATGCACTATCACATCAAAAATGACATGGTCATAATATTTGTGAACATAAATTTTACAAAAGAAAATAATTTACGAACAAAAATTATTTTAAGTACAAAATTCCACAAAAATGACATGCTCATAATATTTTTAAAATAATAAGTCATGTTCTAGTTTGAAAATAATAAATAAAATCTGGCATATACAATATTACAAGTATAGTATATACCAGGCATGTAGCCTTGACGACGGTGTCGACGTCATAACCAGCAAAGTCAGCGCCTTGAAGAGTTGAAAGCATTACAGCCATGAAGTCTTCATCGCCTTTAGCCTCCCCGGAATCTTTCTTTTGGCGATGTTCCTCTAACCATCCCCCCACTATACTATCCATTTCTTTTCCAGTTTGTTTCATGGCCTTCACATGTCCACCCAAATCAAACCACCCAAGAAAAGGAATTGAGTCCGACACCAAAAACAACCCAATCAAGTGAAAGAAATCCCTGAATGCCTTCTGGCACCGCCTCGCCTCTTTCCCATCCTCACAAGTGCCTGCACCACCGAATCGCTTTCCAGCAACCATTCTAACAAGCACGTTCAGACCCAAGTCCGTAAACCATTGCTTCATATCTACCAACACATGGCCTGAGCTGTTTTTCTTCTCTGTCCAAAGGTTGTGAAGTACTTTCATGGAGGTCTCGGTTTCAGAGACTCTCACATTCTTGAAAAGCTGGACACGGCGGCTTCCTAGTAGCTCGAGGGAGGTTATTTTGCGGATTTCACGCCAATAGGGACCATATGGGGAGAAGCCGAACATAGCATCGTTGTAGCCTAGGTATTTTGCAGCTGTAAACTTGGGACGGCTTGACACAGCTATGTCATTGGTGGTGAAACATTCTTTGGCTATCTCCCAATTGCTCACCACCAGAGTTCGTTGTAACCCGAGCCACATGGTGAAAACTGGTCCATGTTTATCGGCTATGGCTCCCAAGGTTTTGTGGGGAAGCTCAGAGCCTCCTAAGAGGTGGAGGTGGCCTATTATGGGCCATGCACCACTAGCTTCTGGTGCTGTGCTGTTTTTAGCAGCTCTTTTAGATCTCCATAGCAAATAGCATAGAACTACAAATAAGGATAAGCCTCCAGCTATGGCAGTGTTTATGTGTGGAAGAAAAAAATCCATGGTAGCTTATGGACTTGGAAGACTCTTGGCCAGAGTCTCTTTGGTTAACCTGCTTTATAAAGCATGCATATGCCTAAAAAAAATAAAATAAAACAAAAAAACAAAAACAAAAACAAAAAAACAAAAAAACAAAAAAACAAAAAAAACCTTACTCAAAAATTTAAATATACGGTAAAAATTTTATTTTATTGTTGTGTACCTAATCATGAAGGAATCCTTTTAAGACTAAATTTAATTATTTAGTCATTATAGTAATTCACATGATATAACAATATGAATTATAGATTTAAAAAGATCACACTTTCATATCTCAAATCATAAGCTATTATCTAATTAATTAATAGATGGAGTAGTTTTCAAGCCTTCTACTTTGATAGGCAAGTGGAGTTATAGTTATATTAGGAAATTAGTCATCTCTCTACCTATAAAAGGTTTTTTTAGATCACTTATCAATCAATCTGAATTTATGTATTGTAAAGAGGATCCAGAGAGAGAAATATTTTTCTACTAATATTGAGATTGGTTTGTGTTCAATCAATTTTGAATTACTTAAAGATTTTGTATAACAGATTCGGATATATTATTTATTTTTCACATTATGTTATTGTTTGTGAAAATGATGATAGTTCATGATCTTAAATTATAAATGTTGTTATATGCATAATACAATAAATTATTTACAAGTAATATCAGAGGTTGTGTTCATGAACTATTATAAATTTTATTTTATTCAATAAAATTGACTGAATATGATTATCCATATAAATTTATACCTCTGTATTGTCAAAGGCCTTGTTTGGCAAAGGCTGAAAATTAGTTTTTTAGGCTAAAATTTACAAAAAGACAAAATACGTTAAAATAGTCAATAAGATAAAATGTCACATCAAACTCATAATCATTTCACTTTTTCTCTCACAAATATCATATCCAACTATAAAAAAATTCAACTATCTTCTCAAATACAAAAATTTTAGTCTATTAAAATAACCAAAAACTAAAATAGCCTACTAAAATAGCCAACTTCCCAAACGAGGCCAAAGCATTGACTGATTGCCTGTATATAAATTATTTCGATTGCGAAATTTAGTACGAAATTCAATAGTATGTTAAATTGGATATTGCCTACATAAGTCTGGCATATATAAATTATTGTTGGAATTTTGTCGCCAAAATTATATTACAAATTTCTTTGCCTTGATTGATGATCATCTATGTATTTTTTTTTTTTAGTAGTGAAATTAGATGGTTAGAATGAAATTTTATGTCTTTAAGTTGATTGATCACCTGCGAAACTATTATTAGTTTTGTAATATATTATTAAATTCAATTTTACGGCCTACAATCTATTGTCAGCTTAATTGCATGTATATATGATCCGTGAATAATAATCATTTTGATTGACTTTTGTTAATCCTTATTGTTGTTATGTACTTCGTAGAGGGTCATAAATTAAAGTCCAAATTATGGACGTAAGTGTGGAGGTCATCTTTATTAGTTGACTAGGAATGACCAAAGGAGCATGGGCTAAAGTCCAAGGGAAGTAGGTCAACCGTGGGCCGAAGTAGATTCGACACGCCAAGGGCCCGAATAGACTCCATGAGGAGAAAATATCTAAGTCAAGTTGTAGACGAATTACTTGTAGCAGTCAAGTTGTTGAAGCACTTTGTCTTAGCGCCGCCATTTCAAGTATTGTGGGTGTTGCTGCCATCTGACGTTGTTGAGGGAAACAGAAAACCTATTGTGGGTGTTGCCGCCAACTGAGTTTCAGAGGCAACACTTGCAGCAGCTAAGTTGCGAATGTACTTTGTCAGCACCACCATCTCTAGTTTTGTTGGAACTGCCATTTGTGCTCGCCACAGGAAATGGCTACCACAACAATTACAACCATCGCAACAACTACAACCGTCACAACTAACTTGCGGAGAGAAAACCCCATCAAAGTGATAGCAACCTTTGAGAAGAGCTTTGCTTCACAAATAGAGGCTAATGCTTGGCACTGATAGCAGGCCCCAAAGCATTACTAGCCTAGTGCTGATAGCAGGCTCCAAAGCTTACTGGTCGGAGCTGATAGCAGGCTCAAAGATACTAGTATACTGCGGTGACCCCATGAAGATGGGTGCAGGGCAGCCAGAGTGCAAGGGACTCCCTTTCCATCCACCTAGGTCATAGCAGGCCTGGTTGTGGCTTTTACCCTGGGAAGCTGGGGAGTTCGTGGTTAGGTGCCTAAGGGTGGAGGCTTCGCTGAGGTGAACATGAAGACATGGCTGATAGTAGGCTATGAAGTCCTGAGAATGCATGTTTTGACTAACCTGAACTGAGATGGCAAGTGCAGAGGAAAACATTACCGCCACAAGTGCACTTGCTGAGGTTCAAGCTAAGGAGGCAAGTTGCAGTGGGAAACACTCCCACCGCAAGTGCACTTGCTAAGGCATTTGCGCCAAACAGATAGTACATGGTACATGCAGAAAGACGCGTAGCGCCTTTAGTCTAGTGGCTCATGGAAGAATATTCCATGTGATTCTTAGGGACACATGTCCTCACTTTATTTGGCCACTTTAGTATCCTCTTGGTGCAAGAAATGCCTATAAATAGGACCTATTTCCCAAGGTCCAAAAGAGGGATTTTTTTTGGAAATTTAGAAGAGATGCTGCTCATTTGTGCACTATTATTCCTTTCTTTTTTAGTCACTTGCTTCACCTTCACCAAGTTACTCATCATTTAGTCATCCCACCATTATTGGACCATTGACATAGTTTTGCCTCTCTAATTATTCTCTTGATCACTGCTCACATTAAACCTCCCCGCGTTTCTGGCGACTTCATTGGGGAGTTCCGTTGCCAGACAACATCACTTTAGGGATGCCAAACCTACAGATGATGTCTTCCTTGATAATGTTGGCCACTCCTATGTCATCTGCTTTTCTTATTGGTGTGGCCTCTACCTATTTGGTGTTGACTTCGGTCGCTGCAAGTATCCATTTGTGGCCTTTGGGCTGCTATGCTATAAGACCTATTAAATCAAATGTCCATGTATGCAATGGGTAAGTGTAGCTGGTTCTTCGCGCTCCTTGGAAGGGTTTAGTCTCCTCAGATGCGATTCCCTACAGTTCAAACTCCCATGATTCAGAATATGGTTCCACAAGTGTAATGTGAAAAAGAAAAACGAATGAGAGTCCAAATCCGGCAAATCTTAGAAAATCCATTAATCATCGAAGATGCCAAAAATAGACTACATTGCCAGATTTCAGAGTCGCTACCTAAATATTTTTAGGAAATTTAAGATACCTGTGACTCATACCAAAGGCTATTTGTCCGTCATAACCAAAGTGTCTCAGTTCGGGAATTTAGGTATGAGAGGAGAAGGTCATGAATTGAGCACCCCATTCACCCGATCAAAGATAGCCCTCTACTAAATCATGCTGTGAATTTTATGGACATTATATGCTCGTGTTTTGATTATTTATAGTATCATTACTATGTGAAGCAAACAAGTATGGACCACGCCACTTACTTTGGAATGCTTTGATTTCATGCTTTCTTGAAAAGAGTTTTTGAATATGTGCAACTCGAAGGAAAAGCGAGCTTATATGTACAATAATCAAAGTCATTCCAAACTAAGCAAAATAGTGTCAATCCACAAGCATTCATAGAGATATTTTAAGTAAGCGAGTAGCCTCATGGTAGTATGCTTGACATGGTAACAAAGATACACATGCAATATGCTAAAGCAAAAATGCTCACCTAGTACTTATAAAACGAGGCAAGCCGGCAAGCCAAGGAAAAGAAGATAGTTAGGAAGATGCATGATCCTAATATGCAAAATGGCTAATACAACACATACAAATATGCAACTACTTGTTTTGGCTATGAACATGTCATCTGAATCCACTTAAAGCAAGTGGTAACACATGTATTCAAGTAAGAAATAATCAATGATATCAAATATGATGAGCCGAACCTTAATGCATGCAAAAATGGATAAAAATCATGGTAATGATAAAATGAAATATGATGCTATACGACCACGGTAAGCATGTAAATAAAAGGGAGAGAGAAATGGGGGTTTGATGGGTCGTTTCACACACTAAAAATAAACACTAAACTATACCAAATTCTTTAGAATAGTGGTATGTTTAGGTATCGATCCACAGGGACAACTGGAAAATTAAACTATTTTAATTTTTAAATTCTTAAATTAATTTTGATGAAAAAGATGGTTGCTCAAAACCTAATGATAATTAAAACAAACAAAGCGATTAAACTAGCAATTATAAATCAAGACGAATTTATTGATTTCGGAAAAGTCCAGGGTAATGAATTCACTACTAGTTATATAAATACGGTTTCAATTTGAAAATCAATTATGTTAAGGGTCGAACGAAATAATACTTCGCAACTACAAGCTCGAAGCATTTATTAAGAGAATTAACACGTTCAATGTATAGGCACGAACCATCTCAAGTAGTACGAGTTGTTCGCTCTAAATTAGGGTAGCAACATGACTCATTCCTCGTAGTATGGTTCATCTCATACCTCGAAATGAAAGCATAGAAAACCATTGTATGGAAAGCATTCAACAATCATAGAAAGTAGAATACTCGAAGAAATATTGAAAAGTTATATTAGAAAGCTTCTTGAGAAGCATACAACTTTTCAAACCATTACATAAAAGAAAATAAGAAAGAAAACCTATTTACTAGGCTAGGGTGTCACAAAACCTTAGAAAAGGATCATATCCACTCATGGAGGAGTGGGTAGAAGTAGAGGGAAAAGAAGCTACCATGAGAGACATTCTTCAAACTTCAAGTTCTTTTCTTTCCAAACCCTAGCCTCTCTCTCCTTTTCTCTAAATTGTTTTTGAACCCCTTTATAACCTCTTTTTCTTCCTTCTATTCCCAGTAGAAGAGCCTTAATTTTCACGCACGTAACCCTAGGTGGGCCGCTTGAGCGGTGGTGGGCCGCACATACAGTGGAGCTTGGCTGCACATGCGGTGAGGTGGTGGGCCAGGATTTTTTGCTCCTCGCATG